GGGGCCCGACTAGTAACCAATGCCAAATCCGGCGAAACAACTGGCCGCTGTGATACAATTGTACAACAACAACAATAATAATAATAATAATAATTGTTTTCTCTGATCCGAGAAGACAATTACATTGTGATAAACCTTAACAAAATGGCAGATTGCTTTTCAGCATTTAAACAAAAACCAAAAATAAATACTAAGGAGTGAAAAATCGGAATTTGGGGCTTATTTGGGTATTACTGTCACTCTGCAGGCGATATACCAGTTAAAGCATGGAAGTTATATTTTACGTGTGTCTAATATGTCTCTAATACATATATCTTACCCAATTCATGTGGCAACTCATGACAGAAGACCGCAACAGATGTACTTAAGCCACTGGATAAGCCTTCGGTGAAAGCAGCCCCTAGGAAAAATAAATGAACATTGTTAAAAAGGAATCACACTGAAAAATGCAGGCAAACCCCAAAACAGATTTAAATTAAGAAAGATGTTTTCTAATCAGCATTGTATATTGTATAGGTGCTGTATTGCAGGAACCAGGGATTAAATCATACAAGGGAGAACAAGAAATAAATGACTAGTTGTAAGAAATAGGCTCCCTATAAAAAAAAAAAAAGTTTAAAAATACACCCATTTTCTGAACAAAAGCTATATACTTTCAGCTAGCCCATTCTTATTCCCATTTCAGTTCTAGTGGAGAGAATCAATTTCCTATCTGTGTACTTGTTTGGAATTTCAATTTAAATGAAGAGCAGTTTGCAGTTACATAAAAATCACAGAACTATAGCTTTTAATAAGATGCAATCGGATAAAGAGCTAAGACAATAGCAACATGACTACAGATCAGTGGTGGGTTGCTTATCCCGTTCCAACCGGTTCAGTTGGAACGGGGCTGGCAGCGTCCTCGTGCACACACGCAGTTCACACATGTGTCGTAGCACCGGTGCGATGCTCCAGCTGCTCATGGAGAATCGCGCAGGCGCTGTATGTGCCATGCGCCTGCGTGGAAGCGCAGAAGCTTTCAAAGGCCGGTAAATATT